AGGTTATAGAGGCCGATTACTTGTTTTTATATTTGGTAGTTTAGGACACACACACAGGCTGGTTGTACGAGGGCTTCAACAACTTAGGATGCCCAAAAAGAGGGCTAAACGGCAAGCAAAGTACTGTGCTTTGTCCTCTATCATAGGCAGCCGTCATATATGGTGGAGACGCTGTTATTTATACCCATAACAACTGAGTGATATGCTTAATATTGTGAAGACTTGTTGCACGCCATTAGTCCATGAATTTGTACATGTATCTAACTGCATCTATAATATTTACGTCCTTGTAAGTTATTTATTTTAAGTGGACTTAAATAAATTGTTAAAATGTGTGTGTGAGTGAGCTAGACCTGACAAAATCTCCAAAAACCTCCCTTTGGGGACGTCATTTGTAAAACTGGTATAAAAATAATGTAAACAAAGTTTTTTTTAAATGCAGAAAGTCTCCTGTGAGGGGTAGGTTTAGGGGTAGGGTTGGTGTAGGGCAATAGAATATACGGTCTGTACAGTATAAAAACCATTACGCCTATGGAGAGTCCCCACTTTTCACAAAAACAAACCTGTGTGTGTGTGTGTGTGTGTTTGTGTGTGAGAGAGAGAGAGAGAGAGTGTGTGTGTGTGTTGTGGCAACAGTCTCTAGTCTGTTTATAAAGCTCCATCAGACAATGAGGGCATTTCTTTACTCAAAACAATTAGAAAACGGTTGTTGAAAATAGTTTATTAAAATGATTCAGTAGAAAACCATAGAATGTATCCAAATATATGTTTTCTTCCCTTTGTCAACAATCTCAGAGCATCAGGGCTTGTGACTGAACTGATGTGATCTGGGTTCAGTCGGTTTGAGCCAGCGTCAGTCTAACACACACACACACACGTGTTCACTGTACGTATCTCTACGTCTCTGATTACATGTCTGTTCGGCTGGCTGAGATCAACTCGTAGTGTTTAAATGCATAAGTTATATATCAATTATATAAAAAGAATTAATACACTGAATTGTATACTTCAATCTAACAAACGCACAGCGTTTGCGACTCGGATCATAGCCATAATAATTAATAATAATACAAATACTGGTATCTTTGGTAAATCTGTTTCTCTCTGTAAGGCACTGGTTCATATAAATGCACCTCATCTGTAAAGGTTTGAGGTCATTAAAACATCTGAAAGATTCCAGTTTTCTACAAAGATGTGTCGTTTTTAAGGCAAATATCAATCTCTGATGCCATACGAACGACATAATACTGATAAATATGGTAAGAGGCCTGTTCACATCAAGAACAATAACTATATTAGCGTTCTCACTGATGCACGATAATCTTCTGTTTATTATAAACACTGCAGTTTTATCGTCTGTCACTTTAAATGCTGGAGCTCTTTAATGTTGAGTGGATTCTGATTGGCTGTCAATGTGTTTATCGTTCATCACCTGGGGAAAAAATCACTCTGAAAGTGATTCCAACAATATTGTGCATTTGTGTCGTTATTGTTTTAGTTGTGGCATTGTTATTTTTTAAAAACGATATCTTTATCATTATTGTAGGGCTCCACGATGAATCGTATTTTAATCATGATCACCATTTCAGCTTCTCTCAATTTTAAGCATAATTGTCTGCAATATTCGCCTGCTGGTTATTTATTTGGTAAACGATTAATTTTAATTTGACACTGCCATTATCTTGCATTGGACACAAGCCTTAACAAGCATTCATGGATGCGGTTGCCAGATGTCAAGTGTTTAAAGTGTTTAAATCCAACCAAACGTTTTCTCTGAAATCGATACATTTTCTTCCCAGTGGTTTACAAGTTTGCCAGGTCTTCGGGGAAAAAAACCTAATTGCTAATCAGAACTAAAACTGTAAAACTGTTAAGTAGTGGTTAATTTAATTTATTCCCAACCTGGCAACCATGCGCACGTGCGCTCTCCAAATGACAGAAAAGGTGGTGACGGCTGGAAAGCACACAAGTTGGAGTTCAGCATTTGCATTATTGACACTATTTTCCTATTTAATACTGTAAAGCTGTTTTGACACGATCTGTATTGTTAAAAGTGCTATACAGAATACTTTCCGTACCCACTGTATAAATAAAGGTGACTTGACTTGATTAAATCTGCAAGCAAACCATGCAAGTTGATCTGTGCTTATATGAAACTGCAATAAATCTGATGAAATTAAGTGATTATATTTTTTGAGCACAATAATCGTGATTAACCGTTGAACCATTATCGTGCAGCCCTACGTTATCGAGCCGGACGAGGCGACGTTCATGGCCTGAGTGTGTGGAGACACGAAGCTCATCTTCTGCGGGTGCGGGTACGAGCTCATGTAGGACAGCTCGGCGGGGTACTTGTAGATGGAGGAGTCGGGCGGATGCGGCTGCAGGGCCTGCGCGATGCCGTGGAAGTCGAACTTGTAGGCGTAGCGCTTGCCGTGCACTTTGGTCATGATGTTCTTGTCGTAGTAGTAGCGCATGGCTCGGCTCATCTTGTCGTAGTTCATGTTGGGCTTGCTCTTCCTCTCGCCCCAGCGCCGCGCCACCTCGTCCGGATCAGTCATCTTGAACTCGCCGTTGGTTCCTTCCCACGTGATGCAGGACGAGTTGGAGCTGTTGGAGAGAAGCTCCAGGAGGAACTGCCACAGCTGGATCTGACCCGAACCTGAAACACACACACACACACACACACACACACCTCAGCTATATTACCACTAGGGCTGTCCATTCAGGGCCAGATTTACTAAACAGGGAAAATTAGCGTTAGAGCGCAGTTCCATAAAAGTGCAGATGGGAGGGAAAATTCTGCGGGTGATTTACTAATAATACACACACACTGCAAAAAATTATTTTCTTAGGTGGTCTGTCTTGTTTTCTAGTATAAACAGTGTTGGGGAAAGTTACTTTTAAAAGTAATGCTTTACAATATTGCGTTACTCCCCCAAAAAGAAACTAATTACGTTACTCAGTTACTTTTTATGGAAAGTAATGCGTTACGTTACTTTTTAAATCTGGGCGGGGCTTGCTTGTTTGTTTTTAATATAAAAAGTTCTTCTTTTACAAACGTTTTCTTTTTTTTTTTTACAGAAAACAAGACATATCTTAAGTCATTTTACTTGTACAGTTAATTCATCTTGATTCAAGAATGTTTAGATATTTATACTAGAAAACAAGACAAAAAATATTTTTTGCAGTGCATTAAAGCAGATCATTTCCATAATGACCACCAGTGCAATCTATCGAGAGCAAACTACCACCTGCTTTAAGACATGCTTTTTTTGGGCGTTAAATAATGGCACAAATACCAGTAATTTGACAAGCGCAAACGTTAGTAAACCACGTTGTGTGATTAATCTGAATGCTCTCCTCCCATAAATTTTGCATCTGAAAGGGAAACTCCTACAAATGCATATTCAGAAAGGTCAAGCGCAAAAATAACTGCGTCCACGCCTTTTCAGTTCTAATTCTTCACTGCGCGTCTTTAGTAAAACCTGACAGTAGTCTTTTAACGCCAAATGATGAAAAATAGCCTTTGGCTAATTCTGGTATATTTACAGGAATGTTTTATTAATGTACATAAAAAAAAGACAGTTTGCACTTTTGCCGCTTTATACAAAACCGATTGTGTCAAAGCAGCTTTACAGAGTCAACAATAAAAAAAAGAGTGCATGACTGCAAACGTGACATTGATTTATACAACTGTTTAGTAAACAAGAAGTTAATATTGTGTTATAGTTTAGACACATTTTTTGTCAACATTGTCTGTTTTTGGTCAATTTTGCAAATCAAAGCCACAGCAGAACATCTCTGATCAACACACAGCAGTGATTCATTACTGAATGAATCCATGTTTTGAATGAAATGAGCGAGTCAGTGCTTCAGTGACTCGTTCATTAAGAGGCACTTGCTTCATTGCTTCATTTCAGCCATTTGGACAAATCAGTTGAATGAATGATTCAATGACTTACTCATTAAAACCGCCACCTAGTGGCACTTTTAGTTTAATATTTATAGTATCTTTTCATTCAAAAAAAAATTTTATATTTCAATATTCAGTTTTTTCTGTTGAATCAATACATTTCTTTCTAAAGCTAGTTCTTTGTAATGTCTATTCAGTGCTTTTCTCATTTAACACATTAATAAATTATCTTTTGGGGGGTAATTTCTCAGCCCAAACTGATGTGTGATTAAGTAATTGGCACATCATGTAATTAACTAGATTTTAAAAAATTTAACATCTTGGCAGCCCTATTTATCAAACAGCTGTTTATATAAATTTGGATATGTATGTATAATCAAATTTATTTGCATACATACAGTACGTAAAACAATATATACTATATAACGTACCTCACCTGCTTGATTGTTTATATTGTAACAAAATGTAACTATTATTGTCCAGCTCTAATCTGATAATTGCAACTATAATGCATGAAGGTATTAAGATATTATAAATATTAACATCAGAAGTTTTTGTAATGATGCTTTAAAACAATGCGTGAAAAGCACTTAACAAATAAATGTACACGTGACGACTTTGACTCACCTGGATTCGCCAGTCTGCTGCTTGTCGGCCCTAAAATCTGATACAGATCTAAGAAGATGACAAACAAACATGAGACATCCTAGTGATGCACTTCAGCTGATTTAGGCTTTATCTGATTAAAATAAAGTAGTGCTGTCATACGATTAATCGCGATTAAGTACAAACACATATATTATGTAAACAAAAACTTTTATTTTGGATACGATTAATCACGGTTAATTGTACTGCGATCACAAAGAACTGGAGGGTAGTTCTAGGTATAACACAAAATCAAAAAAATAATGCATTTTTTATGATACTGCTGCATAATTCACCCACTATTTAGTGTAATAAACATGCATGGATGAGGAAAAAAAGTGTGGGATGTGCATGATGTTACAAAGCGTTATTAAGCTACAATTACATTTATTCATTTAGCAGACGTTTTTATCCAAAGCGACTTACAAGCTGTGAAAATAATTCATAGTGATTATGTATGTGACTGTAAACAGTTGGGAAAGAAATCAGATGTGTGTTAAATTATTAAAACTATAGACAAAAAAATACTTAAGAATGACAAAATCACTAAAACTAACTAAAATTAAAATGGAAACAGAATATGAAAATAAAGTCAGTGTTTTGGATACGATTAATCACGGTTAATTGTACTGCGATCACAAAGAACTGGAGGGTAGTTCTAGGTATAACACAAAATCAAAAAAATAATGCATTTTTTATGATACTGCTGCATAATTCACCCACTATTTAGTGTAATAAACATGCATGGATGAGGAAAAAAGTGTGGGATGTGCATGATGTTACAAAGCGTTATTAAGCTACAATTACATTTATTCATTTAGCAGACGTTTTTATCCAAAGCGACTTACAAGCTGTGAAAATAATTCATAGTGATTATGTATGTGACTGTAAACAGTTGGGAAAGAAATCAGATGCGTGTTAAATTATTAAAACTATAGACAAAAAAATACTTAAGAATGACAAAATCACTAAAACTAACTAAAATTAAAATGAAAACAGAATATGAAAATAAAGTCAGTGTTTGTGAGTGCAGTTCTCACCTAACTGAGCTCTCTGCTCTTGGGGTTTGCTCGTGATGGCAACTAATGAACACACACACACATTCAGGTTAATCGTGAGCATCAGCGGCGTAACGTGTGCAGCACATGGGCTTCTGACTGACCTTTAGCTGCAGACGCCGGCTGAGTCCATCCAGAGCGCCGGCTGTGGAAACTCACGTCTGCTCTGCTGCCGTCCGAAGGGTAGGTGTTTGGGAAGATGAAGCTGGCTCCTCCTGAGACACAGATCAGCGAGAGCCATGTCTGACAGTCTGATCTCATTCAGAAGAGCAGGGGAAGCGCAGCGCAAGTGTGTGTGTGTGTGTAAGCAGTGTGGGCGGGGCCAGGGGCGGAGTCAGGGGCGGGGACACAGGGCTGCTTACCTGTATTGCGAGCATGCATTAACCGCGGGGAGTTTTGCAAGGCTTTGTCAACATCATCTGAAGTCAAGTGAGGAAGTGGAGCTGAGAAACAAAACATCCATGACACGTGAAAAATAAAGAGAATCAAACAACTCAACAAACATCCTGTGACATGATGCTGACTGAAAGAGAGAGACCGATGAAGACAGACAGACAGAAGGATGGATGCATGCTGTGAGTGTGACGGCGGATAAAAACAGTGTTTGAGCCGCAGACAGGATCGTCTGTCTCTCTCTCATCTCATGCATATCTAAGAACTCTGATCTCGTCTTCATGTTTCACCCCAAAATCATCAACAAGAAATAAATTAGAATTAGGGCCGGCTAAAAAATATCGGTATCTCGATATTAATCGATTCTCATTTTTACGGAACGATATCGATTCTTAAATCCCAAGAATCGATTAGTCTAGCCTGTTTTCAGTTAATGGACGGAACGTTGAAGGGCACTTCCCATCCAATATATCGCAATAAACATTGTGCTTTGGTACTTTTAATATGAAACAAAGTCTCAGATTTCAAATTCTGTCCATTGTATTGCAGGATTCAAACAATAAATGTAGTTTTGGCGCCGTTTAATGTGGCGTGACGGATCGCTGTAGCACCTCAGATCAACAGACGTGAACTGATCATCTCCTCCGCTTTATTACAAGTTATAGCACAAAATAAACATGACTAAACATCCGAAGGTAAGTTAAAAGAAAGAGTACAACTTTACAATCCCATGTAATCTCTCAATCAGTGTTTCAGCCGCGCAAAGACGTCAATATAACGGCTTGTAAACAATGCCACGTCACATTTACCTCAGAAAAACATATTCGGTGACCATAAACTCATTAATCAGATAGAAAATATATAATAGAAATAAATATATGCACCATATAACATATTCATTATAATTCTTTACTGTTCTTCAATGTTTAATTTATGTTTGAATAAATCCATCAAGTTTTTGACAGCCACCTTTTAAATATTTATATTTTAAAAAACGAATTGAAGTAGAAGTATTATTATGTAGCTAATTGTAACTTTTTTTTCCTTGAGAAAATTTGGCATGTCCTGTACCTGATATATATCCAGAATAATCCATACTGAATCGAATCGAATCGCAAGCTTGTGAATGAGAATCGAATCGAATCGAATCGTGACATTTGTGTCAAAACCCAGCCCTAATTATAATATTTGACATTTAAACCATGAAGATGTTTTGCATTGTGACACATTTATATCAAACTCTAGTTACTGTAATGCACAGAAATCTCATTCTCATCACTGCCGTGTCATGCTTATTTAAATCAGTTCAACAATTATATAATATAAACACTGTACATGATACAATAAGAATTGAAGCTGGATGTGCTTCTGTTTCAATAATGTCACAATGCAAAAAAATGTTCATCCAAAATATAATTTTTCAAGCCAATTTACTGATATTCTATAACTAAATTTCTGAACGCTCCTCCTCCTAGAGCTTTCCAGCTAGAACCACCGAACTCAGCCCTGCTCTTCAGACTGAGCTGACTTAGTGTGCTTTATCTTTTCAGACTGATCCGACTTACGGTTTTCTTCAAACTGAAGATTAAAAATCATAAAAATCCCATAGACTTGCATTGACGGAAAATTCAGATGAGCCGAGACTCATCAGACGATGTACTATTTCTAACCCATTCAAACTCATTTAAGCTTCCACTCTATCTAATATTTCTAATCTGTCTCGCTGGGTGGCTGCTTCCAGGCTGGTTTTAAAGTGGTTTTGGCAACTTTTTAGTTGGTCAGGCTGGTCTTAGTTGGTCAAGCTGGGAGACCTGCTAAAAGACCAACCAAGTTTAACCCTTAAGCTACTTTCAGCTTAAACCAGCTAAGACTAGACTAGACAGGTCTTAGCTGGTTTTTGACTGGCTCAGCTGGTATTAACCGTTTTTTAGCTGGCTTTTTGTTAAATCATCTGGTTTTAGCTGATTTTAACTGGTCTCTAGCTGTTTTTTTTATTGAATCAGCTGGTTTTACCTTGTTTTTAGCTGGATTTTTTTTCATTTACAATGTTAAATCACGTTACAAACATACTAGCAGCATGTTAGTCATACTAGAAACATGCTAACCATGTTAACAACATGATAGTCATGCTAGAAACATGCTATTAACTAGCTAATCATGCTAGCAAACATGCTAGTAACATTCTAATCATGCTAGCAACATGCTAATAATGCTAAAAACACCCTAGCAACCACCCCAGGTACCCTAGCAATATGTTTTATGCTTGTCTGTTTTTCTGATAGACTGTATTGCCTTGAAAACATTCAAGTTTTAATCTTTAAAACTATTTTACATGTCAAACTACTTCAAACTGAAAACCTTCAGACTGCAAGCTTTTAACACTTTGTAAAACGTTCTGGCTAGGCTTTTTCAAGCCAACTTAAAGTTTGTCTACAAACTTTTCAATCTAGTTTCAAAATTATATATTTTTAATAACTAGAATTTTACTTAATTTAAAAATACTATTACAATTATAAAATATGTGTCCCTGCAGCACAAAAGCAGTGTTGAGTCGCTGGGGGATATTTGTAGCAATAGCCAACAATACATTGTATGGGTCACAATTATACATTTCTCTTTTATGCCAAAAATCATTAGGATATTAAGTAAAGATCATGTTCCATGAAGATATTTAGTAAATCTCCTACCGTAAATATATCAAAACTTAATGTTTGATTAGTAATATGCATTGCTAAGAACTTCATCTGAACAACTTTAAAGATGATTTTCTCAATATTTAGATTTTTTTGCACCCTCAGATTCCAGATTTTCAAATATTGTCCGATCCTAACAAACCATACATCAATGGAGAGCTCATTTATTCAGCTTATTAACTCTTAATTTTTAAAAAATTGACCCTTATGATTGGTTTTGTAGTCCAGGGTCACAAATATCTTTAAAAAAAGGAAAGTAAAATACAACTATTTTATATAATTATAAAATAAAAAAATATTTTTCTCATTTGATTTTAGGGGGACGCATGACCTGGACAGGTGTAAAAGATTCGCTCAGCTATAACACAGTTGCTGTGCATTATCCCGCCTATACCATGGTCACTTACAAGCATTGACAAGTTAAAGCTGTTAATGATGTTTGCAGCACAATATTTGACCGGACGTGTAAAAATGATGGTTATTTTGATCAGTTACAGCTCGTTAGTGCTAGCATTCTGCCTGCTTCAAATCAGACTCAGAGCTGAAGCAGTGCAGTAAGATCACATTTATTTGAATGAATTATCAATCTAGAGAGAAAGAGAGAGATGACAGCTGTGTGTGAATTACAACAAGTTTTTGTGCTCCTGAATGTTTCTGTGTGCGCAGCGCGATCTCCGTTCTCTCTCTCTCTCAATTAAAGCAGCGCATTAATATAGAACGGTGATTAAACTGACATTGAACTTCCATGTGCATTAAACGGTTTTAATGCATACCTGCCAGCCAATCAGAATCCAGTATGCATGTTAAATGTGCAGTGAGTCATGTGACTGAGCGTTATGAAGCGTCGTGATGAACCGATGATGCAGACGCACACTCACTCTCTCTGAGGTAGTGCAGGTGAGACAGCAGGATCTCGGCCGTGTAGCTGCTGGTCAGGCGCTGGACGTCGTCTTTGCTCATCTTGCAGAGCTCCTTCCCGTCGATGCTGTGGAAGAGAGACAGGTCCACCTCGGGAAGCCCGTACTCCTTCACGGCCCATTCCAGCCACTGACGCACGTGATCCGCCGACCACAGGCTCGGATCTGCAGACAGCACTCGCTTTACACTCACCGCTACTTATTATTATATAGATTAGTGCTGTCAAAATTTGCGTATTAACACATGCAATTCATTTTTTCCCCAAAAATATTTAACGCAGTGAACGCAGCACTGCAAACAATGATTCTCTTACTCAGTATTTCTGTCTTGTGTTCTAGTATAAATATCTAAACATTCTCGAATCAAGATGAATTTACTGTACAAGTACAATAACTTAAGATATTATGTCTTGTTTTGTATAAAAACATTTTTTAAATTTTGTTAGTTTTATCTTAAAACAAGCACAAATATCTGCTAATGGGGCAAGAAAAATAATCTTGTTTAGCCTTTGAATTCAGATTATTTTTCTTACCCCCCTGGCAGATATTTTTGCTTGTTGTAAGGAAAAACTAACACAATTTGTCAGTAAAAACTCATTTTCTTGTCCTGTCACCCATTTATTCTGTGCTCGTAGTGCATGCTCTTCAATTGCACGCACAAATGCGCCGGTGCACTGTATATAATTTCATATTAAAGCGCAATAATATATAAAAGGTTATGAGGCATTACGATGCGTGTCAGATCCTCGTCACGTTGAGCAGCGGTAGCTCTTAAAGTTATAGCAGCCAAACAGCCTCATAACCAGCTGCTGTGATGACAAAGAACAAAACAACGAAGAGAAACCCAGTAACTCAGCTTTAGGGATTCATCTATATTTAATATAGTTTAATTTCTGTATATTTCCTACTTGCTGAAGGGCACAGGTAAATATATCATTTATTATAATGGGTTTATGTGAAGATTGTTTTAAGTTAAATTCATTTAATTGATCTATTTCAAAGAGACTACATCTGTAGTATTGTTATCAGTGATACTCGCCTTCAGTCGTAAAAAAAAGATTCCACTAAACAATAATTAAAAAAATATACTGTCTTTATATTGTTTCTATATTAATTCGAAGATTGCATGTGAAATTATTGCAATATAAAAGTATATTTAAAAACGTTAATGTTAAGTGAAAATAATCGCGACTAATTTCAGAAAAAATGTGTGATTAATTAGTTAATTTTTTTAATTGACTGACAGCACTAATATAGATAAAACATTTACATTTTAAAATAAATAAAATACAAAGATAATACAATATATAATACGACATTCATTTCATCTTAAAATATTCATTCAAAAATATTAAAAATATTTCAGGACAATTTTTTCTTACTGGTTGAATTCCGTTTTTATTTATTTACACATTTTTGTGTCACCTTGTTGTGTGAGTAAATCCCTTTTCCTGTCATTTTAAAGCGATAGTTCAACATTTACTCTCCTTTTCTTTCTTCTGTTGAACACGAAAGAAGATAGTTTGAAGACTGCTGGGAACCAAACAGCTGATGGTACCCATTGACTCTCACAGTATATTCCCCCTACTATGGAAGTTAATGGCTTCCAGCAATATCTTCTTTTGAAAGCAATTCACACAGGTTTGGAACAACATGAGGGAGAGTGAATGATAACAGAATGATCATTTTTTGGTGAACTGTTGCTTTAATTCCAATTCCAGTTCAACGTCTGACCAGTTCATACTGTACTTTACTCATAAATCCACTAGTTGACAGATAAAAGCACTGACTAATGAATCAGCGAATGGTCTGGCAGTAGCTGTGATCAGTGTAAGCACAGCCGTGCATCTATTGTGCTGCCGCATGAGCGGGAAAACAGGATGTTGTTGGTGAGCATCAGCAGCTCAGCAGGAAGTTGCACAGAATCTCTGACTCGAGCCATGAAGCACACGCAGCTGTGTGTCGTCATCAGTGATGTGACACAAACACAAGAGTACCTGCAGGGACGATCACTCTGCGCTCGCTGGTGGTCACGTTGGGCGGCGCTGCGTGCTTGTCCTCCATAAAGCTGCTGTACATCACTGGAGAAACCTTCCCCTTGACCGCAGCACACACATCAGGAGAGGCCCTGCACACACACACACACA